GAGGACGGGGAGGACGGGGAGGACGAGGAGGAGGAGGAGGAGGAGGAGGAGGAGGAGGAGAGGATAAGGCGGAGAAATATGCGGAACACTGGGATGATGATGATGATGATGATGATGCTGCTGCTGCTGCTGCTGCTGCTGATGATGATGATGATGATGATGATGATGATGCTGCTGCTGCTGCTGCTGCTGCTGATGATGATGATGATGATGATGATGATGAGGATGATGATGATGATGATGCTGATGATGATGGTGATGGTGATGGTGATGATGGTGATGATGATGATGATCATGATGATGATGATGTGATGATGATGATGATGATGATGATGATGATGATGATGATGATGATGATGATGATGATGATGATGATGATGATGATGATGATGATGATGATGATGATGAGGAGGAGGAGGAGGAGGAGGAGGAGGAGGAGGAGGAGGAGGAGGAGGCACGAAGAGAGGACACGTAGGCAGGAAGGAAACTGAGGAAGAACATGGGCAGGAAGGGACGGATAATGTAGAGGAGGGGGCAGTGAGGGAGGGAGGGAGGACGGGAAAGAGGGAGAGAAGGAGGACATCAGGTAGGGCGGGAGGTAGAGGAGGAGGAGGAGGAGGAAGAGGATGACCAGTGTAAACCCAATATTCATTTACGATATTGCAATACACCCTCCCTCCAAGTTGCCTCTCCGCAGGCCCCTGCGCGGATGCACCGTTTTCACTGAGGGAAGTGCCCCGTTGGAAGACCACCGTTTGAAAACCACGAACTGTGCCAGAACACCATTCCTGGGACTTCCACGCGGCGAGTCTCCGTGACTGCTGCGTCTTGGCGACCCTGCATCGTGCCACAACACCATCCCGGGGTCTTCCACACCGGGAGTCAACGTAACTGTTGCGCCCTGACGGTCTTACATCGCGCCGGAACGCAATCTCTGGGGCGATGGCCAGGGGAAGCCTTGACACTGTTGTGGACTCTTAAAACGAACGTGCGCGGCGCTGAGGCGAGAGCCACATTTGGGAAAGGAACCGCCCTCCATCCGTGAAGCTCTTGCAAGCTTTGAAGAATATGCGCGGCGCCCAGGCGAGTGTCACATTTTGACAGCGGCCCGCTCTCCATCCGTGATGCTTTTGCATGCGTTTCAGACGACTGTGCGCGGCCTTACGGCGAGAGCCTCATTTTGAAACCCTCCCGCCCTCCATTCTTGAAGCTCTTGCATACTTTTAAGACGAATGCGCGCGGCGCTAAGGCGAGAACATCATTTTGAAATCCGCCCGCCATCCATCCGGGACGCTTTGCAACTTTTCACCTTAGGAACCAGACACGGCGTAGAAGTCTCAGGCGAAACGCCCAGCCCGCCCTACCGACACGCCTCGGGGTGCGACAGGGAGGAGTTCTTCATAAGGATAAGGAGTGGAGAAGGAGGAGGACGCAAGGGGTAGGAGAAGGGTGTGAAGGAGTTTGATTTTTCTTGGCGTATCGCAAATGTGAATGAAGCCCAGCCGTGAAAGCAGAGGTCCTCCACCAGCACGTCGGCGATTATCAAGCGGTGCGCCTCTGGAAGCACGAGCCTCACGCCAAGAAGGGCACCCCAGAGCCAAGCTAGCGGACGAATAACGGTACAACATAATATTGTCCGCTATTGTGGACAGTGCGAGGTCGAAGACCGCTATAGAAGCCACCAGGCATCGTGGCGTGAGTCGTCTTGCGGATGTTTCCCACCTCGCTGTTTCTCTTCGGAGAGAGGGAGAAGGGCAGGAGAGCGTTTTCTTCTGCTCTCATTGGCTGTTTTTTGTCGGGTGGGCCTCCAGCCAGATATCCCGTGCCCTCCTTGGGTCCCCTCTTGGGGAATTCGATCGACCTTCGGGGAGTCAGGAGATCTCCAGAGACCTCCAGACACGTCCAAAGCGTGCGCGCGTGCGCGTGTGTGTGTGTGTGTGTGTGGTGTGTGTGTGTGTGTGTGTTTGTGGTATGTGTGTGTGTTGTGTGTGTGTGTTGTGTGTTGTGTGTGTGTGTGTGTGTGTCGTTTGCGTGTTGTGTGTGTGTGTCGGTGTGTGGGAGATTGAGGCCCTGGGGGTGTTGGTTGTGGGGGACCCTCGTCTCCCCAGCACGTATGACGGCGTTGGGGGTGGCAGAGGTCGGAGGGCTCCGAGTCTACGCCTGCACCGATCCTGGCCAGGTCGATCTGGGGCCCGGGATCGGTGCAATATACCTTCCTGCCCCAGCCAGGAGGGCCTACACACTCAAGTCGGGCCTGTCCCTCTGCTGGAGGAATGTTCAGGAATAGCCAAACAATAGTCCGGGAACGATTTGTTTAAAGTTTTTTCGATTCTGTTTGAGCATGTTTTGAATCCATATATATATAGACAGACATATACACATATGTTTATATGTACATGTATGTATGTGTGTATATATATATATATATATGTATTAACAAAAATCGTCCAAGATCCGCCTGTAGGGGGACATGCCCGACCTAAGTACACACCGATCCCGGGCCCAGGCTGCGCCTGGCCAGGATCGGAAGTAGGTCTATCAGCTGGTGCCCTCCTCGGGCACGCCACGCGCACGGCAGACGTATGTCCGCTGGCTCCGTGGCGCGCCGCGAGCTCGGACGGTCGCACCCGCCCGGAAGCGTCGTGTCGTGTCTCCTCGTCCTCCTCCTCCTCCTCCTCCTCCTCCTCCTCTCCTCCTCCTCCTCCCTCCTCCTCCTCCTCCCCTCCTCCTCCTCCTCCTCCTCCTCCATCCTCCTCCATCCTCCTCCTCCTCCTCCTCCTCCTCCTCCTCCTCCTCCTGCTCCTCCTCGCCCCCCAAGACGCCCCAAGAGGCCCGGAAGCCTCCTTCTGGGCCTTTTGGGGGAGCCTCTTGAAGGCCTTTTGGGGCCCTCTTGGGGGCATTCCTTTCTCGCGCGAGCTGTGCCGCAGCAGAGGGACGTTTCACGGCGGCGCCGACGGACCCTGCCGGTGCCGCGCCCGCAGGGTTCTGACCGGCCAGCTGGCGCTCATTGCTCTCAGGACGGACGAGAGGATCATCGTCTGCGACCGCCGCCAGAAGCTAATGTGCACCATCGGCTTCGGGCGGTCGATCTGGGCCGACCGTCGCAGTATGCACGGATGCCCGAGTGCGTTCACAAGGCAAGCGACAGCGGCGTCAAGATCGCTCTTGCGCTGCTCGACCAGGGTCACCCCTCGACTTTTGTTGTCGTCTGCGAGTTGGCGAACGCCGAGGGTCTCCGCACACAAGTGGGTTATGCGGGGGTGCTGGCCGATAAGGTGGTGTTGGAGATGCCGTCCAGGGGGCGTCGATGGAAGGTCGCTGAGTTCGCGCTCCCAGAGTAGTTCGCATCAACCTGGCGTGAGAGCCTTGCATTGCGACCGCAGCCATCGACGCCGTGTACTTCATTGCAGCAGCTATCTGAAAGTCTTACTGGACCAGCCTCGATGTCATGTGTGCAGCGTGATGGGTTGCAAATCCCCGCTTGCTTCGGGTGGAGCAAGCCGCTCTTTTTTCCGGCAGAGAAAATATTTGTGCTGGATGCGTCGCCCATCCTGGTTTTGTGGCCACGCGGATCTATCTGATGTGTGCTCCCTCGGCCTTGGGAGTCGGGACTGGCTTGTTGCTAGCCCTGCGAGCTGGAGCCTGGAGCCCAAGCGACCTGCAGGAAGACAACAATGACGATTCTCCCACCTGCCATCCCCTAACGCCGCCTATCTACAAGAGGCTCTGGTAAGTCGTTCGCCAATATTCGGAGGAGCGATCCTTCCGCCGGTCCGTTCCAGCCAGGTGCCCGCCGGGGGGCGATGGCCGCCGAGGGTTTGGCCAAGTTCTGTCGGAAGCCGACGGCCACACCGACGTCGTTCCTCAATGGTGCTGCCTGCCGTCTCGCAGAGATTCGAGCAGTGGCGAAGCGTCCTGGCTTGCCTATAGGCCCCGAACCACAGAGTGCTCTAGGGACCTCTGGTGGTCTGCACGACATGTTCTTGCAAGGTGTCTGGCTGAGTCTGCCCTGTTTTGGCACGTCGGGCTTCTGTTCTAAGAACCTTGTCTTTGTTATTCTAACATCTTTGGGTTCTGAGAACATGTCGTGGTAGGCCCATAGGAATGCTGGCACGGTCGGTCCCTGCTCAAGAGATGCCCCATCGATTCGGCGGGCGGCTCCGCGTGCCCAGGCCGCTCGAGTCGGTGAGGGGGCGCGCGCGTGCACGCGTCGCGCGGCCTGCGTGCCGTGGTGTGCGCACGCTGCCGTTTGCGGTGGTGCCCGCGTTCGCTCCGAGGGGTGGTCTTGGCGTGAGGCTGCTTCGGGAGCGGGCTCCAGTCTCGGTTCACGCCTGCCCGCTCTGTCGAGGAGCGGCCTTTCCGGAGCGGACCTGGGTCTTCGTCGCGTTCTTGCGAAAATCGCACGTCACACACTCGCAACTCGATCCAGGATCTCCTCCTCCTCCTCCTCCTCCTCTTCTTTTTGTATGATTTGTCTCCGTATCACTGTTATTATCATGGTTATGATTATTATTATGATTATTATGATTATTATTATTATTAGTATTATTACTATTGTTATTATTATTATTATTATTATCATTATTATTATTATTATCATTTTTATTATTACTTCTCCTCCTCGGTCTCCTCATCTTCCTTCTTCACTTCCTGCTCCTCTCCTCCTCCTCCAAGATAGATGAGAGAGAACAAACAAGAGAGGGGGCATGATTTACCCGCGTCTCTCCTCTGTTGCATATGTATGCTCACATCCGCTTATGTTGGCACAACGGTGACTTCCAGCACATCTTGCTTTGCGTGCTCGGACCGCAGCCCCCCCGCCCTCCTCCCTCCTCCTTCCCCTCCATCCTTCTCCTCCTCTCCTCCCCTCCCTCTCCTCCTGCCCTCCCTCCTCCCGCTCCCCCCTCGCCTCTGCTCCCTCCCCTCCTCTTCTCCCTCCTCCCCTCCCTCCTCCCCGCCCTCCTCCCGCCGCCCCCTCCCCGTCGCCCCTCTCCCTGCAGGACGCCGAAGCGCTGCCCGCGGAGGTGATACGCAACGCCCACAAGAAGGCGGGGAGGGGCCGCGGGTCGGGCGGCACTTCGGGGCCGCGCTGCCGCTAGGGGGGGGTGGACCTCTCGCAGGAGCCGAGGCTGGGGCTCAGGGGAGGCCCTCGTCCTTGCCTCCTCCTCTTCCTCCTCCTCCCATTCTCCTCCTCCTCCTCCTCCTCGTCCTCCTCCTTCTCCTCCTCCTCCTCCTCCTCCCCTTCTCCTCCCCCTCCTCCTCCACCTCCTCCTCATCCTCCTGCTCCTCCTTGTGATGTCTCGGGCCTCTCCCTCTTCCCTCCTTCGGTCAGCATCCTGACGGGGTGGTCAGCCTGCGCTCAGGGGAGGCCGAGGGAGCCGAGGTTCCGATGCCGCTCTGTCCTGGCCTCGCTCTCGCCTCTTCTGGGCCTCCTGCGAGGCGAGGGCCTCCCAGGAGGCCCGGCCTCGAAGTTCTTGTCAGAACGCACTTCGGGAGAGGTCCGGGGGAGCGGCGGTATGGCCATCTTTTGGTTTCCCCATCACCTGCGTGCTCTTGTCTTGGAAGCCGAGTTCGACTTCAAAAGGCAAGCGGCCGACACGCACGCACGCACGCAGAGCTTCGGCGGCGCGCCGAGGGGGAAGCCAGAGGGGGCAGGCCTTCTCAGAAGGCGGCGGGGCTTCCGAGAAGCCCTCGCGCCTTCTGAGCCATTTCGCTGTGTCTTCGGGGAAAGCTGCGCAAGCTTCGCAGCAGGCCGGGCGCAGGCCTTGAGAGTCTTCGGAGGACGCTCGCCCCCTCTGCCTTCCCCCCCTGGGCGCGTCGCTGATGTCCGTAAAAGCGATGTCGGCTTCCACAGCGCGCAGGTCTCTCTCAGGCTCTTTGAAATCGAAGGCACGGGTCCCCTCACGGGGGCGCAAAGCTGAGCGCGCTTCGCGCGTCGCGGTCTGGGCCGGAGCGGTGGCCCTTCTCCGGGGGGTCGGCGCGAGGGCGCGAGGCCGCGAAGACAGTCGCGCGTCGCACGCCGCTGGGTGCGGCGCACGAATCAGGAGGAGAAAAAACACGCAGACACAATTAATCGTCGATTCCCCAGAAAATATGGGAAAATATGGGCATTGGGGTGGAAGACAAAAACCCAGAAAATATGAGAAAGTATGGGGAATCATGTTATTTGTGTCTATTTATTTGTGTGTCCCAGGGCTCCTTCCTTCAACGAAGATGGCATCCAGCAGCCGCGCAGTTCTCACAGGACAGGTGTGCGTGCCCCCCCCAAACCCCACTCAAGGCCTGGGCACTGGTCGCGCTCGCACCTGCGTTCTTTGGTGGTGTTGGTACCCCCTAAGGTCGTTCTCCCTGACGCCGCTGGCAAAAGTGTTTGGCCCCCCTCCTGGTGATCGTTTCCTTATTCATTGTTCTGCCGATCGGCGCGGGCCCTCGCCCCCCCCCGACCCCCCTCCTCCCTCCTGGAGTGGATCTTGGCTGTTTCTGGCGCCTGTTTCAAGCAGGTGGAGTCTCTCCTCCATAGGACGCACTCTTGCAAACAGTCGCACTAAGCAGGGACCTGGAGCCAGAACCCCCTTCCCCTCCCCCCCTCAGCCCAATGCCGAACCGCCGAATGAGAAAACGCTCACCTGGGCCCTCCCTCGAGCTGCGCGCCAAAGGGCACTCCTGCGCGCGGCCGTCCTCCCGGCTGGAGGCCCAGGGGGGTCGGCGGTGTCCGGTCGTCAGGAGCAGCGCTGGGGGGGGGAATCGGCTCAGGGGGAGCGCATCGACCCCCCGTCGCCCATGGATCGCCGATGGGGCCTAACTCAGGAGGGGAAGAAACACACAGATACAATTAATCGTCGATTCCCCCCCAAATAGGGGAAATATGGGAAGTGGGGGGGAAGACGAAAACCCAGAACATATGGGAAACTATGGGGAATCTTGTTATTTGTGTGTATTTATTTGTGTGTCCTGGGGCCCCTTCACTAACAGGGTTCTGGTAGTCCCACCCCGCTCAGGAAGGTGCGGATTCGCAACAGGGGCCCATCGCCGCTCTATCGGCGATGTATCGCCGACTCCAGGTCGGTGTCCTCTGCCCCTACGCCAGTCTCCCTCTCCTACCGTTGCCCCTCAGGTCGGGGGCTGCCGAATTCCCTCAGATCCAGGCGCCGTGGGCAAGAACACGGCGTGCGTTTCTGCCACACCTCCAGCCGCACGAGGGGGGGAGGAGGGAGGAGGAGGAGGAGGAGGTGGAAGGAGGAAGGACAGAGGAGGAGGAGGAGGAGGAGGAGGAGGAGGAGGCGGAGAAATGAGTGAAGGAAGGACGGACAGAAGGAACGAGGAGGAGGATGAGGAGGAGGAGGAGGAGGAGACAGAGGAGGAGGAGGAGGAGGAGAAAGGGGAAGGGAGGAAGAGGCGGAGGAGTAGGAGGAAAAGGAGGCGGAGGAGGAGGCCCAGGAAGAGGACGAGGAGGCGGAGGAGGATGATGAGGGGGAGGAGGAGGCCGAGGAGGAGGAGGAGGAGGATTTTCCATAGTGTCATCCATAGTTTCCTTACTAGTAATAAGAATAATAGTGCGAACGACTGTTGGTAACACTACTACCATCATTAATCATACTATAATTAGAGCTTGCATTCGTAACGACCATGCGTTTGTATGTGTTTATATACTAGTAATACCAATGATGGGAATACTAATACGACTATTAGTACGAGCCGTAATCATAATAAACGTAATCGTAGTTGTAAGGACACTAGTGCGAATAATAGGACTAGCACTAAGACCACTGCACAGGGAAGGGGGATCACATTATGAGTAGGAATAACACGATGACGACGGTTACTAATACTAACATGACTAGTACGACTAAGACTAACCCAGATTCCGGGAACAGTACTACGAATATGAACAATAATAACAACCTTACGACTACTATCCCTGTCACAACATGAGTATTCTTGACATTTTTCATTAGTCCCACAACGGAAATTAATAATCCTCAGCCTAGTGCTATTCAAGAGTAAACGTAACACTAATAACGTGAACCACATTTGTATAGGAGCAGTATCATTAGTCCTACAACTACACATCCTACAAGCAGTAAACCTAGTGATATGAGAAGGTGGAGGCGGCATAGGAGGCGGAGGTGGATGAGGTGGAGGAGGAGGAGGTTGAGACGGAGGAGGAGGAGGAAGAGGAGGAGGAGAGGGAGGAGGAGGAGGAGACGTAGGAGGGGAAGGAGGATACAAGGATACTGACAAGGAACACCATACAAACAGTCATGCTAATCAGGATGATAATAAGGAAACTAATGATAATGAGGATCAAGGAGAAGGGCCACATGATAATACTGATGAGGCAGAGAACGATGACACAACACATAACACGGAGGAGGAGAAGGAGAAGGAGAAGGAGGAGGAGGAGGACGAGGAGGAGGAGGGAGGAGGAGGACGAGGAGGAGGAGGAGGAGGAGGAGGGTGAGGACGAGGAGGAGGAGGAGGGAGGAGGAGGTGGTGAGGAGGAGGGAGGAGGAGGATGACGAGGACGAGGACGAGGAGGAGGAGGAAGAGGAGGAGGAGGGAGGAGGAGGAGGAGGAGGACGAGGAGGAGGAGGGTGAGGAGGAAGAGTAGGTGGAGGAGGAGGAGGAGGAGGCTTTGTAGTTTTCGTCTTGTCTGGGCTTCTGGAGGGCCCTCTTCGCCACCCTAAGAGTCGAGCAGAGGCCGGACCTATCTGGGATTTTCGCACCCGCCCCATCGCGGCCCCGGGTCGGCCTCCAAGGCCCCAAGAAGACCCAGCGGGCGCCTCCAGAGGGCCTCAGCAGGGCCCAGAGGCCACCACAGGAGAGATCCAAACAGGTCACAAGAGGCACCCCCGATTGTCAAGTCGGAGGCTGCGCTCGACCAGGGCTTTCATCCGTGGCTCCTCCTTCTCTCCGCGGTTGGCCAGGTGCAGCCGCCGCGCCAGGGTGCCAGCGATCTCCAGTTCACAGCCGAGGGGCAAGCCCGTCCCCGAAGGGAAGGAGTGAGCTGGAAACGAAAATCCCGAAACCGCTTGCGCATAGAGTGCTGGTGGTGATGGAGACGAGGATTTAGACAATGCCTGCTGCTGCGTGATGCGGATGATACGTGGTAATGCAGCTCATGTAGATGCGGAGCGTGGTGGATGACTGTGCTGTTGAGGTTGTTTATGCTGTTGACGATGATGGTGGTGTTGGTGATGATCATCATCGTGAGGTGGTGATGCGGTGGCAACCGCGGCGATGATGACAATAACTACGAGGATGGCGACGATTTTCATGATATTTCTGGTGACTGTGGCGGTGCTGGCCGTGAGGACAACATAGGTTCTTTGACACCCGCCGATCTGATCTGTTCAAGTCGCGGCCCCAGAGGTCCTGGCCGCCTCCTCAGTGGTACTTCTGTCGCCCTGGATGCACTTCTGATGGTCCCAGGACCCGATAACGTGCCCATGGTCGTTGGGGGAGGGAGGGGGAGGGGGGGGGAGGAGGAGGGAGGAGGAGGAGGAGGAGGAGGAGGAGGGAGGAGGAGGAGGAGGAGGAGGAGGAGGAGGAGGAGGAGGAGGAGGAGGAGCAGGAGGAGCAGGAGGAGCAGGAGCAGGAGGAGGAGGAGGGAGGAGGAGGAGGAGGAGGATGAGAAGGAGGAGGATGATGAGGAGGAAAGAGGAGGAGGGAGGAGGAGGAGGAAAGAGGAGGAGGAGGAGGATGAGAAGGAGGAGGAGGAAACACGCCGGGATTGAAACACACACATGTCGTCGAAGATTTTGGTCTTGGCAGAGCGCCTGGGCTCGCCGACCTCTTCTCCTCGCCGACCTCCGCCCCGCATGGCGGGGGAGGTGACGGCAACCAGGAAGCACGTCGACCGCAAGGCAGGACCCGCCGCCCTGCTGCCAGTCCAGGAGGAGGGATGATGATGATGATGATGATGATGATGATGATGATGATGATGATGATGATGACGATGATGATGATGATGATGATGGTGGTGATGATGATGATGTTGATGTTGATGATGCTGATGATGATGATGATGATGATGCTGATGATGATGATGCTGACGATGCTGATGATGCTGATGCTGATGCTGATGCGGATGCTGATGCTGATTATGCTGCTGATGCGGATGCTGCTGATGATGGTGATGGTGATGATGCTGATGCTGATGCTGATGCTGATGATGTTGATGATGATGCTGGTGTTGATGCTGATGTTGATGTTGATGCTTGCCATGCTGATGCTGATGCTGATGCTGCAGACGATTCTTATGATGATGGTGATTGTGATGGTGATGATGTTGATGATCATGGTGCTGATGATGCTGATGATGATGGTGCTGCTGATGCTGGTGATGCTTATGATGATTGATGGTGCTAAGGGTTATCGCGTGGATGATGCTGATGATGATGCTGTTGTTGATGCTGCTGCTGATGATGATGAGGAGGATAAGGATGATGATGAGGAGCAACCAGTGGAGGATTTTGAGGATGTTGATGATGATGGTGGCGATGGTGATGCCGATGATCATGGTGATGATGTTGATGCTGATGCTGCTGCTGCTGCTGACTATGATGATGCTGATGATGATGGTGCTGATGCTGGCCATGCTGATGCTGATGATAGTGATTATGATGCAAATAACGCTAAATGTGGTGCTGACTATGCTGATGACGATGATGAGGTTGATGCGGGTGCCGATGATGACGATGATGAGACTGATGATGCTGATGATGCTGCTGATGATGATGATGCTGTTGATTGTGATGGTGATGATGATGGTGATGATGATGATGCAGATGCCGATCATGATGATGATGATGCTGATGCTGATGCTGATGCTGCTGATGATGACGATGATGCTGCTGATGCTGATGATGCTGATGCTGATGGTGAGTATGATGCTGGTGCTGATGGCGATGAGGAGGATGCCGAGGATATGTATGATGCATGTATGGATGGACGTCCTCGGCATTGCTTTGTGGGGAGTGATCTGCAGCTGAACGCACCGTGTGATACTCGTGCAAGCTACCGCCTCAAACGATCGCATATCTACCGTACAAGGTTGCGGGTACCGCGCGCCGTGCAGCCTTCGTCACCAGCGTTTTACTAGGCTGCACGCAAGGACACGAGTGCTCGCGGGCTGGGGGGGTCCCTCTTCATCCCTCGTCTCTCCTCCTCCTCCTCCTCCTCCTCCTCCTCTTCCTCCTCCTCCTCCCCCTCCTCCCCCTCCTCCCCCTCCTCCTCCTCCTCCTCCTCCTCCTCCTCCTCCTCCTCCTCCTCCTCCTCCTCCTCCCCTGTGGGGGGGCGTGGGGGGGGGCACCCCTCTGGCCTCTGGAGGCCGACGCCCGACGGCACGGCAAGGGCCAGGAAGGGCTTCCGACGCGTCCACGGGTGCTCGCGCGGTTCGACGGCCCGCCCCCTCCCCCTCGGCCCGTCCCCTGGCTGTCTCACTACCCACCAAACCACCCCAACCCAACCCGAAGGCCTCAATTTGCCCTCCATTTCCAGTTGGAGGGGGGGGGGGTCGGGGAACATGGGAAACACACGTATGGAACCCGTACCCCGCCCCAACCCGGAATTGGGGTCTTCGGGTTGGGTTGGGGTGGTCTGGTAGGTAGTCACTCTCGGGCCCCGTAGGCAGGCCATGGACCCAGGGTTCGGGGGAGGTCGTCAAGCCGGAAGGAACAATGAAGGAGGCAATCGGGAGCAACGGGCGCGCCTTGTCGTACATATATATATAGAGGGAGATAGAGAGAGAGAGAGAGAGAGAGAGAGAGAGAGAGAAAGAGAGAGAGAGAGAGAGAGACGGGTGGGCTCAGAGACTTAGTACAGCAGCGGCAGCGAGAGCGTACCCACGACACGCATCACCACCATGCCCATCGCGAGAGGGAGGCCGTCGAACAAGGGGTTAAACGAGGAGGTTGCGGATGCGGATCATGCTGCTGCTGCTGATGATGCTGATGATGCTGATGATGATGCTGACGATGATGATGCTGATGATGGTGCTGCTGATGATGATGATGATGATGATGCTGATGCTGATGCTGATGATGATGCTGATGCTGATGCTGCTGCTGCTGCTGATGATGATGATGATGATGATGATGAGGGTGATTATGGTTATGATGGTGATGGTGCTGGCGCGCTGGTGGTGGTGGTGGTGGTGGTGAGGAAGAGGAGGAGGAGGAGGAGGAGGGCCAGGAGGAGGAGGAGGAGGAGGAGGAGGAGGAGGAGGAGGAGGAGGTGGAGGAGGAGGAGGAGGAGGAGGAGGAGGACCAGTGTACATCCATGACTCGCCAGCAATGCTGCAATAAACCCTCGCTCCACATTCCACTTCATAGGTCCTACACGGATCATTTTCACTGGAGGGAAGTGTCCCGTTGGACGGCAACCGTCTGAGAATCCTGAGCCGCGCCAGAACATCATTCTTGGGACTTCAACGCCGCGAAAACGGTATAGTTGCGTCCGGGCGATCCCGGACCTTGTCATAACACCATGTCTGGGACTTTCACACGCGGATCAGTGTAACTGTGCGCCCTGATCATCCCACATCGCGCCAACACACGAGAATTCTGGGACGCTCACCATAAGAGTCACTCAACCTGCTGCAAATGCTTAAGACGCATTCGCGCGGCGCTAAGGCGAGGGCCACATTTTGAAAAGGAGATGCCCTCCATCCGTGAAGCTCGTGCAAGCTTTTAGGGCGAATGTGCGCGGCACTAGGCGAGAACCACATATTGAAAAGGAGCCGCCCTCCATCCGTGAAGCTCTCGCGGACCTTGCTAGCGAATGCGCGCGGCGCTAAGGCGAGGGCCGCATAAACAAGCACCGTCCGCTCTGCATCTCTTGCAGCCTTTTCAGAGGAATGTGCGCGGCGCTGCGGCGCGAGCCACATTTTGGAGCCGCTCGCCCTCCACCCGGGCACCTCGTGCAATACTTTCAGCTTGCGGAGCATGAGTCGTGAAGGGCTCCCGGGCGAAACGCCCAGCCCGTCCTGCCGACGCGGCTCGGGGTGTGACAGAGACGGGTCGTTTAGCAGGAACGGGAATGGAGGAGGATGAGGAGGAGGAGGCGGAGGAGGAGGAGGAGGAGGGAGGAGCAGGAGGAGGAGGAGGAGGAGGAGGAGGAGGAGGAGGAGGAGGCGGAGCTGGAACGCGAGGAACGCAAGGACTGCGATCGAAACGACGCTCCAGCCGAAGTCGGGAGCCCGCGGCCCAGCGGGCGGTGCAGCGCGATTGAAGGTCAAGAGTAGAGTGCCGACGGAAGAGAAGCAGAGCGCCGCGTCCACGACCACAACAAGAGCGCCAAAGACTCCCCCTCGCGCCCCAGCGGCTCCCCTCCAGGAGCTCATCTCCCAGAAGGTGGGGAGGAGGAAAGAGGGGATGATGATGCTGCTGCTGCTGCTGCTGCTGATGATGATGATGATGATGATGATGATGATGATGATGATGATTATGCTGCTGATGATGATGACGATGATGATGCTGATGATGATGATGGTGATGATGTCGATGAGGATGATGAGGATGATGAGGATGATGATGATGCTGATGATGATGCTGCTGCTGCTGATGATGATGATGATGATGCTGATGATGATGATGATGAGGAGGAGGAGGAGGAGGAGGAGGAGGAGGAGGAGGGGGAGGATGGTCGCTTGGGCGGGTGGCGGGGACCTGGTCTGGCCAGGGCGCGATCACCAGCAGTGAGCCTCTGCACGGCGGCCGCGGCAGACGCGAGCGACCTGACCGGCACTGCACAGCACTGCTCGGGAAAATTCATGTCGGCGGAGGTGCGACACCACAGTACATTGGCGCCCGCCCTGGAGGGAGTGCCTCCGGGCGGGCACGCCTCGGCGAGGAGCTGGGGGCTCTGGACCCTGAACCTTTTCCACATGCACTTGGCAATGCAGAGCGCCCCGCAAGACATCGCGGTCGCGGGAGGAGTGCGCGCGGGGGGCCCCAGAGTGCGCGAGCGCAGCAGCTTCACGCCCCTCCCCCGAGGACCGAGGATCTCACCCCCCGCGCCCCGAAGCACTGACCGCGGCAGCACTCGGGAACCGCGCCACGAGTCGCTTCAAAGGGGCGACAGCACGGCACCCACACACTCAAGCCTGGTGCCAGACGTCTCGACCGAGTAGCCCAGGCGCCAAGGCATTCCTGGACAATGTGGAATCTGCGGGAGGCCCTCCGCCCCATGCTGTCCAGACTCGCGTAACCATAGACCTGCATACACAAGAGTTACAGTCTGGAGCCTCCGCCCCCTGGTGACCTGAGGGAGCAAGGCCTTCGGGCGGGGCGCGGGTCTCTGCACCCCCCTGCCTGGGGCCAGGCGCCTGCAGGTTCACGCGACTTCGCGCGATTCACCTCGAAGAAACGGCGAAGGGCCTGCTCGGTCACGTCACCTGCCTCCTCGAGCACCTCAACGTGCTCCTGGGGAGTCTCAGCGATGGCGCCGGCCTTCCCGGCAACATAATCGTCGCAACTATTCAAGGACGTTGCAGGCTCCGAGATGTCCCAGGACTCACGAGTCGAAGCCGTCGAATGGGTCTTCGTCTAGATCAACTTCAGAGGCCCCTCACGCGAGTCCAGGAGGTTCCAGATCCTGAGCCAGAGGTCGAGCATGGGGTTGGCTGGACTGCTGCGACCCCGAAGCAGGGGCATACAATCGGAATACGCAATCACTCTCCATCAGTAAACGTCAGCAGCATGATTTGTGCGAAAAGCTCGGCCCTGGGCCTGGAATGGGACTCCGTAGGCAAGGTTCCTAACAGGATGGCGTCACAGCAAGGTCTGAATCAACACTATGCTAATTAAGACTCACCATAGCCCAACCACATGTTCTGAGTCTCCACCATTCGGCCCGCTGGCCCCCATAGACTCCTTATCGGCTCCGTCTGGCAAGCTCTTCCCCGCAAAACAGTCCCAAGCTTGTCGAGCATCACTCGGGGCCGGCAGACAAGCGACAGCAGTGGATAGAGTAGGAAGCCCGCGATTCGAGAAAGCACTCCTCGCATGCTGGGGGTGACCTTGCATTTCAAGCACGTGCTGGGGACGAAGCATATGAGAAGACTCAGTCTGAGCGTTGGGCGCACACTCTGAGAGTTTCCCCTTCGATATCCATCCTCCTTGTCCTAGGGGAACGAACAATGACATAAACATAAGAACTCGAAGGTCCGCGCGGATTTCTGGGATCCGCGCCTGACCCACCCTGGCGGCGCCTCCAGCGCCGCCCCCGGCGCGCTCCGCGCGCCAGGAAGGGGGGTCCAGCGCCGATCCGACGAAAAATCCGTGCGGACCTCCGAGCTTATATGTTTATGCCAGTGTTCGTTCCCCTATCCTTGTCCCCACCCCTCTTCCTTCGTCCTCCTCCTCCACTCATGTCCCCCGTTTTACACATGTCGCGCAGAGGTGTGGCACGTGGCCTGGCAAATTGTTTCGCGACTCCTTCCCCAGCTCTGCGTGTCCCGCACGTGTTCTTATGCGCAAGCAGTTCACTGAAATAAATGGCCGCCTCGCGTGCCCAAGGGATTGGGTACGACACCCTCCTCCCCCTCCTCCCCCTCCTCCTCCTCCGCCTCCGCCTCCTCCTCCTTCCTCCTCCTCCTCCTCCTCCTCCTCCTCCTCCTCCTCCTCCTCCTCCTCCTCCTCCTCCTCCCCCTCTCTCTCTGGCCAACCAGGCTTCGGGAGCCCCGTGGGGAAGATGCGCTCTGCCCGCCCCCCGCCGACCTGGGCTTGGGAGCTACTGAGCGGCCGGTCTTCCAGAGAATCGGATTCGGATCTTCCCGGTCGTGGTAGGTAACGACCGGTCGGCACCCCAAATCGGTCGCAGCCGGTCGCGACCGATCGGTCGCGACCGATCGGTCGCGGCCGTTGTTGAAACACCCCGGCCGCGACCGACCCCCGAATTGAGGCAAGGTCGGAAGCGGCGATCATGCGAGTCGCGACCAGAACATTCTGGCCCTGGAGGAAGGCTTCGCGCCAAAGCCCTGGCCGACCCTTGTTTGGGGTGACCTGGCTTAATGAATGTAGTGTCTGGACTTCTAACGCGGCTCAGCGCCGCTGCCTCAGCGGTGCCGCCGCTGCCTCGCTGTTCTTCGCCTCGCGAGGTGCGAGGGCCGCGGGCAACTCCGGGGCGCCATCGTTGTTTTTATTATTCGCTGTTTTTTTTGTTTGTTTGTTTGTTTTTTGTTTTTGTTTTTTGTTTTTTGTTTTTAATTTTATTGTTTTTCGTTCTGGATTATTGCGACACCGATCGGTCCGCTGACCTGGGGCAGCTCGAGGAGCCGCCGCCGCCGGCGCACCGGCTCTCCCTGGGTTGTGCCGAGCGCCGGCGCGCCGCCGCCGCGCCCAGGTGGAGGAGGTGCGGAACGAGAAGCTGCGGCGGATCGACGAGGAGGGCCCTTTCTTCCGCGGACGATGTGTGTGTGTGTGTGTGTGTGTGTGTGCACCGTACCGCGGTGGCGCCTCTCGTGGCGTCGTCGATTCTCGGCCCGGGAATGGTACGGTGCATAACCTTTCGACCTCCGGGGACGAACAAGCTATGCACCGTACCGCGATGGAGCGGGGCCTGGACGGAGTCCAGGCATGGTACGGTGCACGGGCGCCGTTCTCGCACTTCTCGTGGAGAGCCACGGTATATACCGAACCATATCCAGCCCAACCTGAAGGTCCCACGCCCCCCCCCCCGCCCCCGCGTGTCGGGTTGGAAGGACTATATAGGGGCTCCACGGCGTGCTTCTCGATGTTCCGTAACGTCCCCCCCCCCGGACATGGGCTGGCCCAGCGGCGACTTCGGGCTAGGGTCGGAGGGGCTTGGTGCGTGGCTGGAGAGGGGATTCCCGTGGGTTTAGGGTTTAGGTTTGAAGCACATCCTGTAATAATCAGCCACAGCCGTGCTGGCCGGGCCCGCAGGGCCGCAGTGCTGCGGACGTGTGGGGCGTGCGTTTTTTTGTTGCCGGCCGCCCCCCGCGCGGAGCGCCTCGCGCGGCTCCGCGCAGCGCCGCGGGTTAGAGCGCGCCCCCGGGGAGCCCAGGCCTGCGAGGGCGCAGCCGCGGGCATGTGCTTCGGAGGTGGATCGACCTCCTACCCTGACACGTCGATTAAGGAATTGGCCGTTTTCGGTTCGAGAGGGAGCGCCGCGGCCGTCTTTTTGTTGCGGGTCCGGGTCCGTCGGTTTCGGTCCCGGGCCGTTTTCACTAAGGGGAGGTTCACTAAAGGGAGGTTTGTTCACCGCCGAGTGTGCGCCGCGCGCGAGGCTCGGCTGGCAGGGGGTCGGAGGGTCGGAGGCCCGAGGAGGCCAAGGTTTGAGTCGGGCGCGTCCCTCTACATGAGGAAGTTCTAGAAGTAGTCAAAAAATAGGTCGGGGGACGATTTTTCGACTACTTTTTTGATCATTTTTGAATAGTTTTTGGGTAAGATGAGGAGGCCAGATGTAAGTCGGGCGTGCCCCTCTACAGGAGGGAGATTCAAAAACAGTAAACAGTCGCACGGGGACGATTTTTGTTGTATTTCTGGCTATTCTTGAACATGTTTTGGGTATTCCTTATCTTTCGTCTAAAATCCGCCTGTAGCGGGACATGCCCGACCTAAGACAAGATGCCGATGCCGCCGCTCGCCCAGGAGGTGCCGCGCCGTTGCGGCTGGATTCTGATCGGCATTCTGGTCAGGACGCACCCCAGAAAAGGCTCTGTGGAGTGGCGGGATCGGTGCTCTTTGTCCCCCGTCGTCGTCGTCGTCATCGGCGTCGTCGGCGTCGTCGGCGTCGTCGTCGTCGTCGTCGTCGTCGTCGCGGTCGCCGTCGCCGTCGTCGTCGCCGTCGTCATAGTCGCCGTCGTCGTCGTCGCCGCCGCCGTCGTCGTCGTCGCCGTCGTCGCCGTCGTCGTCGTCGTCGTCGTCGTCGTCGTCGTCGTCGTCGGATGCGTGGGGGCCCTTCTCGTGCTGTGCGCAGAGTCGGAGGGCCCTTCGGGGATCGTCGAGGAGGGCCCTTCGGGGACCCTGCTCTCCGACGATCCGACTTGTTGTTGCAGGCCGTCAGTCCGGGCGTTCTTTATTTGGATGCCGGCCTTTGGGGGGTCGTTTTCGGACCGGTGGGCCACCAGAAACGGACCTTGGGCGAACAAAACACCACTGGGTTCTGTTGCTCCCATCGTGCTTCAGGTGCCCATCCCAGAAACCATTTCGAGCACCCAGCAAAGTAGCGAAACAGTGTCGTTCGAGTACCGCCTCCCAGGGCCCC